GACATAAAAAATAGTAATAGAATTGACGAGTTTAAACATAAATATAAAGGTATGTGTCAATCAAGATATATGCAAGAACAGGCTCAATGATTAATTAGATGGAACATTGTGGTGTATGAATGTTAACACTTTGTAATAATTCTTTAGTATATTACTTGTGTGGTGTAGAAGATAATTATTTAAGAATGTAATTATGTAAGAATGTTAACACTGTTATAATTTTTTAGTATATTACTTGTGTGGTGTAGAAGAGAATTATTTATGTAGAGATACTGCTTGCAAACCAATGATGGTAAGATAATGTCATGGGGTAGGACTGGATAAGTCTGACTTCTTCCTACTCCATTCAAGCATGTTCTAGGTATAAGCAAATTGATTTTGGATTAGCATTTGTTGGATATGTGTAAAATTATGTGTTGACATATCAACTGCTCTTTACATGCTTGAAAGAATAAATCAAATCAAATCAATCTGTACATCCTTATCATTCTTTGGAACACAATATTTCTGGAATATCTTGAGATAATCTCTTAAAACTTGGCAGAAATGTCCACTTGGACCCAAAGATGAACTGATTAGATTTTAGTGGTCAAGGGTCAAGGTCAGTCACCTCACTTCTGTCCCCTATCCGTGAATTTGACTGGTTGGCGGAGGCATACAACCATGAAGCGGTAATTGTTTTTTTCTTAATTGGGTGAGTTTAGATTAATGTCTTCAGTGTCACAAAAGCGAGCCAACTTTGAGGACTCAGACCACATGAAGTACCCACTCAACCAAATGTCCTGGCTCTACAGACACACATACCAGTTTTAGTGTGTGAGAGAGTTTGTATGCACACATTATTCTGATTACTACAAATTACGAAAAATCACTGAGAGGTGTGTTCCAAACAGCTAAAATCAATCAGGGAGTTTAGTGTCTAAGATCCTGACAGGTCTAAGTTCGCTGAAGAAGATCAGAGCAGCATTTGTTTTTGTTATTAACATTTACATGGCGTCCCTGGTAGGCTAGTGATTAAGGCGCAACGCTCTCGCAGCTGCGGCCCAGGTTCGAATCATTGTTGTGTCAGGAAGGGCATCCGGCGTAAAACACATGCCAAATGTCAACATGCAAGTTGTCAGTGTGACGATTCGCTGTGGTGACCCCTAAACGGGAAAAGCCGAAAGTAACTTTCTATTAACATTTACATTGTGTCTCATGTTGCAGTAGCTGTTTGTCATCCTGACTGCAGTGGAGACTGCTTAACCACTTGAGAAAAACACTGAACAAACCAGAGAAGTTGTTCATAGATGTACTCCAGCTATATATAAAAGGAGGTTCTTGTGGGAGAGGATGGACATGCTGTCATGGTCTGCAGTTTCTTTTTGTGTGTTTGCATTTCTCAAGGCTATTGGTGTCTGCATTTTTTCTACACATACGTGTGGTTTTGTTGTATGACCCTGTGTGAGTGTGTTTTTCTGTGAACTGCCTGTATCGCAGTCCATGTCCAGACCCCCTATCTCAAGGGATAAGAAATACATAGACATCTGAGTAATGGCACTGGTATGCCCACCACAGCAAATGGGTATTGTCACTGAGAAACCTGGCATCTCCCGTTGGTTTCACTGATTATTGTAATTGAGAGCTGACATTGTCTTGAAGTGAATATGTTTTGATGAGGTATGAGGCAGAACCAAACCAGTGATAACACAGTGAATGTCAACCGACTTTATTCTCTTTAAGTTCCTGTGGGGCACTGATGTGTTTCACATGTGCAGGTCCTTAGAAAGACTGAAAAATCTAAAACTACATTTTACAAATATGTTTAAGACCAAAAGAAGAATTAACTATACAGCACTCCCCCAAGGGCAACTCAGTTTCCCCATAGTGCCATAAAAGTAGTTAATTACTGAGGTGAGTAGAGTAAAAAAAGACACGTTTTATTAGGAATGGTTGCTTTAATCATCTTAGCAGTGTAATATCTCCTCTTCAGCTCCACTTTTCCTTCGTCCACTCTCTCTTACTTCATCCTGTGTATTTGCATTTCAACTCCTTTATCACCCGTCCCTCCTCCTTTCTTTCCTTTTCTTCCTCCTGCTCTGTCTCCCTCTATATTCTTACCTTTGTTTGTTTTTGCTTGTGTCTATAAATCTCTCTGCCGCGAAACATTTTACAACCACCCACACTGGATGTGCCTAAAAAAGATGATGTTGAAAGCCACAGCCTCACTTACACTCCCCTCTTTGTTTCCCACCTTCCAGATGGGAGAAGCGAGTGGACCAGCGGGGCAGGTTCTACTACGTGGACCACAACACCAGAACCACCACATGGCAGAGGCCCACGGCCGAGTCAGTGCGCAACTACCAGCAGTGGCAGAGCCAGCGCAGCCAGCTGCAGGGTGCCATGCACCAGTTCAGCCAGCGCTTCCTCTACCAGGTACTCCAGGCTTTCAGTGTCCAACCTAACACACACACTGTGCTTGCAGAAAAGAGACACACAAGGCAGTGTTTGAGGTAGCAAAGTTAACAAGGGATTAGTTCTTTGAATGTGTCCTCCTGGAACAACAGTGTGCACCCTCATCAGCTGATCAATCACAACGTCTTAATGGTTTATTCACCAGAAAAGTGGAGTTGATGTCTAATTTATCAGATCTGGCTAACAGCCTGTGTTGTATTAACTTGTTTCAACCCAATGATGAAATCAAAATTTAGCATCGAGTAGAATCTCCAGTAAGGAGTGAGCACCACTGCCTTTCTAGTGAAATGACATTCGTTGGAAAGAAAGAACCCACAGCTAGTTCTTGAAATCCATCTAACATAATCTGAGTGTGGGTCTTGAAAGTACCTGGTAGTGGTTATTTGTTTTTCATCACTGGATTTGATTTTGGTAAAATTGAAGTTTTATGTGATTACAACATCCATTTGACTACAGTACATTGCCACTGGATACTCCAAAGACAAATTTTGTAAATAGCTACTTTAATGCAGTATTATTATATTGTGCCTGTGACTTAAGGGTCAAACTCTATAACCAGCTAAATACTGTCACCACCTCCTGAGAGAAATATCAGACTGCTTTACTTCATGACTGTCTCCACCAGCTAGTCACTGACTTTTTCTGTTTGTTCTTTGGTGGAGGACATGCATGGTTGGTTTATGAGATTTGTGTGTGCATTTATCTCAAGCTGCAGCTACGTTTGACTTTGTGACTTTCTGTGTATCTCACTGTGGCTGTGTGTGATTTCTGTTGTTTAGTGTTTATCTTTGAAATAGCCTTGTTCACCAGCTGCTGTTTGAGTCCATCCCTTCAAACCCTGTCCTCATATTTCTATCCTTGTATCGTAAAACTGTGGTTATGTTACTTCCATTTCTACTTGTTTTTTTCCAATTTCACATTCAAATTTTCATCCTTTCACGTCATCTGACCTGTTATCAGACAGTATCTCTGTCTGCACATGGCTGCTGACGTTTTAAACAGATGAATTTAACTGTAAGCAGCAGTTCATTGGGCAGAAGGTTGTCTTCAGTGCTAGGTTTTTGTTCTCGGTACACTGTTGATGTGGGTAATTTGAACATTAACATTCAACATCTGGGAAGTTAAAAGTACAAGAAGCAGAGAAACGGAGCATCTCTTTGAGAAGCATCATAATAAGTGAACATAAAACATTAACAAATGATGAGGACAATAGGTTTTACCGATTTATTGTCCACTGGCATTTACAGTAGCTACATTTAGTTAGTGATGTTATTACTGAGTTTACTGAGTGTGACAATCAGTTACTGTAAGTGAAGTAGCCTTCTGCTAATGCTTCCATTTAGCAGGGAAGGTACAGCACACCTCCTCATGTCCTACTGAAATCACATGAATATGAACCTATCAGTAGAGTAAGATGTGATACCCTCTCTTCAGGGGCTCGGTATAAAAGCCCACTACTTTTCATAAGTATCAAAAAATATAAACACTTTCATAGTACTGAAAGCTGTAATTAAATGTTTTGTTGGATTCTTTGGTCAGATTGATTTGAATGACAGCGTTGCTGGTTTGGGACCACTTTGTGTCAGCAGAGTTCTTACCAGCTGCTTGATGACACGAGACCCTGTTGTGTTTGAGGCGTTTGGCTGATTTTACTCAACAGTGTTTTTAAGTTGTTATATTTGTCATTGTAAGGTATCAAAAAGCATTTAGTGTCGGTCAGCCCTTTCTGCTGCAAGAACCTGGTGTAACATGTAGCTGTTGTTACAGGTGAGTGTAAATGCAAGGTCCAGGTAACTTAACATGTAATGGCATGTCACAGGTCAAGGTCCAGGTACCTTAACATGTGTCGTCATGTCACAGCAGAGGTGGCTATAACGAAAACTATAACTACCACTTTGTTAATAATAATAAAGATAATCACCTTTATTGGCCAAGTAGGTTACACACAAGGTATTTGTTTCCGGTATAGAACCGATGGCAGCCATCTGCGGCGCCACCACAGCCGACAGCTCTAACCCTCGGAGCAATGGAGGGGGGGTCAGTGTCTTGCCCAAGGACACTTCGACACGTGGACTGCCGGCACCGAGATTCGAACCTTCAACCTTCTGGTTGGGAGATGACTGCTCTACCCACCGCACCACTGTCACCTCCCCTCCTTGTTGTTGCTTCTGTAACGGCCCTGAAGTGGAAGGAGACAGACATGATATCAAATCAAATCAAATCAAATTTTATTTGTATAGTGCCAAATCACAACAAAAGTCATCTCAGGACACTTTACAAAGTAAGGTTTAGACCTTACTTTGTAAAGTGTAAAGTTTCTACCACTGTTCGTCGGCATCTAATTGGTGCAGCATACTTTCACCTAGAAGGGCCATTGAGGTATCAAACTGTGTATCTCCTTAAGGACACGTGTGATTGTACACAACAGTTTTTTATAACTTTTATACTTTTTAAGATATTAAGCTTTTTTTACAGAAATTTCCCCATTGGAAATGAATTGGGCAAAATTGGAAGCTTAATATCTCCGGCATAACTTGGGCTAGAAGCGCCATTTCAACTTTATTCAACTCGTGAGACGTTCAGCTACTAATGGTGCAAAAATCATCTTATCTGTTATGGTTTCTTTTATAATCGACATTTATATTTGTCCATAGACAATGCATGGGTGCAATGCCATTGGCTGCCTATGCGTCACATGACTCCCCCGGTCTAATGCTTTTGCTCTTCCTCTTGTCGCTTTTGTGCTGCTATTATGCCATTCTTAAGCATTATACACATATAATAGATGACAATCGTAGAGAAAATTGT